AAGATGAAAGATCGTGATCAAATTTCACGTAATTAAAAATGAAGTTATAGCCTTTCAAATATCATCGACTATATTGTATATTCGAGCACATTTCAAAGTAATTTTATTAATAATAAATGAATTTCATGTTTGCTCTACATGCAAACACAATTCGGGAGATTAGCAGTAGACAAAAATACGATAGCATGCGTATAGGCTTTGAGCCTATGATACCAGCGACCCACCTAGTCAAATCAAGTGTCTACCTTCCGCTGTTTCTTGATAGTGGCTGATTCGAACTCGGTTGCGTCCCCAACCTCTTTAATTGGTAAAAATTAAATATTAAGTACCTGTAACTTTATTTATTACGTGTAATTATAAGAAAAGCTCGCGCGTTTGCCGAAGGCGCATCCCTCACATGTTGCTAGTCAGTATTTACAGAAGAAAAAAGTAATCATAATCTTTTCCTATCGCTGAACTGGGCAAGTAATAATGAACGATATAAAGCTTTCCGCGGATGTAGCTTTCGTTAACGAGTGGGCTACTTGAACATTCTTTAGATGTAGCCCCGATGGCTTTTCCGACTTCATTTTTATGATTTTCGCTCGAAGCGGAACGCGACGCAGCCATATTATGAGAAAATAAAACAAAAAGTGCGTACGCGTTGCAGAGCGCAAAAGAGAGCAAGACGGTGGCGTTACCCGCTCTGATATATCATACGAGTTAATATGCGTGTGCGTGCTGTTTTCCAGGTGTCTCTCTCTCGCACGGAGCAGAGCACGACGTCGCGCGCGCCTGCGCTGATTAATAGTCGAAATATTTCTTCCGTGGAAACAATGCCGCGCGCGGAGGCTCTGGTGCACCGCGCCTCGTGTCTCTCCGCTTGTATACACAGCACGTATTACACACTCGTAGTAGGTATACGGCGCATTTTTATCAGTATATATAGCTGGGATGAAAAATAGAAATCGACTTGGACGTGTGTATGTATTAACTCACAGACACACGTTTATTATTGTTCACAGGGACCAAGTCGTGCTCTCGAGGATTTTAGGCAGCGAAAGTATAGATTCGAGCGTCGAGATAATAGAGGAACTCGGAGTAGGAAAGTTCATATTATTGGGAGACGAAATTGGGAGCGGTGCATACATACAATGTGCACCGCCGCGTATTTTGTTTTCCTCGGTTTAGACCTATAGCAAATATTACGTATTGCATTGCTCGATGTGTGAGCCTCGAGATCGGCGCTTGAGCAATTCGATCAAAAGCTAATGTGTGTGTATGAGTATTTTACCGAACGAGTTACATAGAGCCTTGGTCTTTGTGCCGCCAATGTTCAGCAGCAGTAGAAGTAGACGAACTTTTTTTTCCTTCCTATAAAGCGCTGGATGAAGCCTTTTAATTGTGAACTAATGAAGTAATTGGCCGTACATGACTTTTTCGTGTTGCAAACTGTTCGCGTATAACATATATAATAGATGAATCGTCGAGATTACGTCGTCGTCGTCGTCGTCGTCGTTCGAGGTTTCGAAAATTGCTTACGCCGATCCGCTTTCAAATACTACATTATACAGACGCGCAATCGGGATAGACAAATGGAAAACGGAAACGTTCGATTAATTTTGCCGTTCGCACCGGGGGTACGTATGGAGAACGCTCAAGAAAAATCTCAGCGTAATATATCTCATCGTCATCCCTCATGTGCATGTGTGTGCGTATGTATAATGCATACATAAGCGATCGCGATGTAATATCGGTCTTTGCCGTCGAACCTGCATGCGTATATGTATAGGATACGCGCCGCGATCTCTCAACGCCATCGCGCATCTCCAAGCTTCTTCTTCCTCTCTCTTTACTACTAGTACTAGAAGATCAACTTGGAGAGAGAGAGAGAGAGAGAGAGAGAGCCCCTCTTGTTCGAAATCTTGTCGGCGGAAGGATCGTATCGCGCTGCAAGCACACGAGGAGCGCGCACAAAACCCTCCTTTGCATATACATTCTGTAAGATTACTTTACGCGGTTTACCGTGCCATAGAGAGCGAGAGAGAAAGGCAGAAGAGAGCACGAGTGCACAAGCCGCGCGCAAGCAAGCATATATATTATACCCGCTATATATATAAGCGAGCGAGCTTTGACTGATATTCGTCGGCAAAGTTCGCTTCTTCGTCGTAGTCGTCTCTCTCTCTCTAATGTATGCGTCTAAATTCTCCCGACGTACGTACGTACTACTCCACGAACGAGCTATATATACGTCGTCTTCTCGAGTTCGGAAGACTGTTTTCGTTCGTTCGCTCTCGATATAGTTTGACAAGAAATTTACCATAGCTACTTGCAGAGGAGTTGTACGAAGCATTTCCTCCCCCCTTCCCCTTCGTCTCCATTTTTTTTTCTTTCGTTCTTCGTTGAATCTCAATAAGCCGCTCTCAGCCGTGTATGATATCCCAAGCAAATGTACGCTGCTGTCTGTCTATCTGTATCCGATGTGATCGCGTGAAAATCTTTGATTTCCATAAAAAAACAAATTCTCTCGCGTATACACGCCTGCTATGCACCTGCGAAAATGAAGAAAGAAGGTAAAAAAAAATAACAAAGTCAACGTCTATCAACGAATCCATCTTGGACGCGCGTAGGCCTATAATTTACATCGTGTTGTTTTTTTCCTCCCCCCGCGCAGGAGGAAGCGGAGGAAAACGAGAAACAAAACAAATTGTCTGTGTATATATTTTTTTCAAAACGAGAAAAAAAAATTGTTACAATTTACCCGAGAGAAGTCTCGACGTTGACTGACTTCTCGTTCGTATTGTACATGTGTTATACACTCGAGTCGATATGTATCGCCAGACATAATCTGTAAAGGCCGGGTGACTCTTCGTTCTCTCTCTCTCTCTCTCTCTCTCTCTCGAGTCACGAGATACATATTTGCGCGCGGCGCGACGTGTAATATACCGATCATGACATAACATTAGAAATAACGAGCAACATCCCGAACCTCGTGTACATACGTATGTATACATTGGTTATATAGTGGTAGATTTGTTGTACTCGGGAAGCTACAACATTTTTACGCCGCATAAGATCGAAAATCGGCACATTTTCCCCTCCGTTTTTGCGCTAACAGTTATTAGATCGAGAGATCGTCGTAACGCGTACATGTGTGTGTGTGTGTGTGTGTGTGCAAATGATCGTTATTATTTGTTTTTCATTACGTATATTATATATATTATATGTTTTTTTTTCTCTTTTTTTCCTCTGGTGGCCGAGTATACGCGTAAGTACGGGGGTAATTATCATCCCGAACCAAGGCGATATTATCATTATAATTATCGATGTAATATTCTCTCCCTTTACTCGGCTACTCGTCTTTTACTTTCGTGTTTCAACATTTCTCGCCCTCGGGCTAAGACATGCGTGATGATCCTAATTAGGCGCGCGCGCGCACTACCCGAGCTACAGCATACATATAGTATATACGCGCTTGCACGCCTTTAAACTTGCCTCTTACCCTTACATATTCTCGCGGGTTCTTAGCCGATATTATACACGTGATGATATGTACGGCGCAACATTGTATATCGGTGGTATGCGCTGAGTCGCTATTTCGAGAGCTCGTACAAGCGTACTTTTGTGCACTCTTTTCTCTCGGTGTGTGCATTTGTGTGTTCGTATGTATAATGAATGCGGCGGCGGCAGAAAGAAGAGCCGACGACGTTTGAGCGCGGACAGGTGTAATGCGCGACTCTGTTTGCGCGCGAATTTGTGGCAATAAAACGCACGCGATATTATACCGAGACTCGAGTGCACGTATACAATACGTTTTTATTGCGACTCGTATATAATACGTATCGTTTTGACCGATGCTCAAAGTGAAAATTAATAACGATCGTTTAAAAGAAAAAAAGTATACGGCGTCGAGATGTCCTGTATTAATTTCTTCTTCTTTATTTTGTCCCGATTGTAACCGCTCTGATCGTCGCGCGAATGCGTGTGTAATGATGTTTGGTTTTGTCATGCGTTTTTTTTTTGTCCTTCGAAACTCGAGTAGTTCCCGCCCGTGTTCGCATCTTCGCCGGGCGCAAAATTTGATTCGTCTCGACAGATTTCACACCTCTCGCGTGTACTCGAGAGAGACGGCGCACAAGCCGCAAAATTAGTTATTTGGAGCCGTGAGCCATAATAATCGAACGCATGTGGATACGCGTGTGGTAATCGGCGACGACGAGAAGACACCCTTGCTTGCGTCTCGGTGGAGTGTGTTGTATTAAATGCAGAAAGAGAGTCCTCCCGATTATACACGCTTGGCTAATCATGATTTACGACGTGCGAAACGAACGACGTCTCGGGCTCGCGCGTCGTCGTCTCTACGTTGACATCGCGCATTACATGTATATGATACTATAACACCCGACCCAAACGAATCCATTAAACATTGTCTTAACGTGTGTGCGTATTTTATAACATACGAAAGCAGCGACATTTCGCATGTATTTGTGAATATAATTTCAACAATGGTAAGTGGGTAATTGTTCACGGGGACATTTTTTTTTCTTCATCGTCGTCGCGCGTGGGAGTCAAATATTAAAACACCTGCTTCTGATTTGTAAATATAAATAGATCATTAAAATGTGTGCCGATTAGATCGATCAAATCAATTTGCGAGCGTGTGTAGGTATGCGTCATATAATTAATAAACCCAGTTAAAAAACGTCTCGCTTCGCATGATAAGCCAGCAACAAGTACATTGTGACGAAAATTTTCCATCCCAATGACTTCGCACTTGCGAATAATGTAATATAAATGACGTGCAAGCAAACAAGCACCAAGAAAATAATGCGTTAATTGACGTTGACCGCATATACTTCGTGTGTTCGACGACGGTATCTCAGAATTTCGGACTGACTTTACGCTTGTTTATCTTTCGTAATAATACAATGATGAGATGAGCGATGATGTTAATTAAATAAATAAAAGGATTAAACTTGAAAGAGAGGCTTTAAAAAAAAAGAGGCGTAATTGAATCATACCTTATCGGCACGCTTTTTACTCGTTGATGCCGCCGGCGGTGACGACACACCGACGACGGCGGCGGCCTTGGCAGCCAAATCGGTCTCGGTTGCCAGTCTGTTGAATCTTTGCATGCGCTCCTTAACACTCAGCTGTTCTAGCTGCTGTTGCTGCTCCTTCTCCTTTTGCTGTTGTTGTGTCATCTGTGGTGGCTGCTGCTGCTGAGAAGACGCCGTGGACGTTGTCGACGATATGGACATCGCGTCTTCCTGCATTTTGTCTTTTTCATTCATGCTGAACTCAATGTTTGTCTCGAGGACACAAGCTAACAAATGACACCCACAGCGAGAGACAGAGTTTGTTTTTTTAGAGAAGCAACCAGCACAGCAGCCTTGGATATGAACCCATTAGAAGACGATAGACACACAATCACCAATGGTCGAGCAGCGACGTTGAGAGTTTTTTTTTTTTTTTGTTATAAACAGAGAGCGTGAGAAGAGATGAAAGAGATGAAAAATGAAAAATGTCCAACTACTGTGAACGTGCAATAGTATACTTGTCGAGATCAGTCGTGCGACAGTTGAATAATATGAGAGTTGTTGTGCATGATTTTTTTTTGTTATCGGTAGATGTGTATAAATATATTGCAAAAGATAAGAAAAAGAGCGACAATGATGATGATGAACGGTGATAAAAATAAATTTACACATCGATTTGGACGTTTAGCGCCAAAGTAACAAAAACTAAGCGCTGTGCGCGTTCAGTTTGCCATCTGCTCAAGTTTTCATTCCGGAGTTTTTTTTTATTATTTTTTTTTTATTTATGAACATTAGTTTACAGGGTGACGTATTTGTTTTATTTACTTTAATATTTTTATTTATTTATGGGGCACGCGAGTGATTTATTTTACAGATATGAATTATGCATAGTTGTGATTTCATCCTACCCAGGTAACTATTGATAATGTTCATCACTTATAAGTTATGTACATTTAAATTATTGAAACTTACACCGAGTAAAGTGAATAATGTGGTGTAACTATGCAGCTTTTCAACACATACATTAGCTCTACGTGCATACTACAAGTTGATCATTTTTTGTGCATATTTAGAATACATTGCCCTTCAGGCCTGTAGATGCTACTCATTATAAACATAGTAGAGAAAATTACAGTTTTTACTAACCTTAATTGTTTCAGATGCATTTTTGTTCTTGTCGATGATACCTTGGTTTTCTTTATTACTAAATTTGATTTTATCTTGACTTTTTCTTCTTGGAGGTACTGAGGGAGGCAACGTACTGGAGCTAGATGATTCAGATTCGCTCTCTGAATACCTCGAAGAGGCACTAGGTAACACATGTTGTATGGCAGGTTCAGCAATTGGTATACCAAGGGGCAAACCAATTGGTGGTTCAACTGGAAATCGACGGATAGGTGAGGTGGTATTGCTCAAAGGACTGAGAGGTGCTACAGGTGGAGGTCTGTAAGGAGGAGGTGTTCTTGAGGGCGATGATTGCAAAGCTAATCCACGCACAGGAGGAGGTATAGCTTCTCTTACTGGTGTTTTAAAATGATCTTTCAAAGATGGTGGTTGAGGATCTCGAATTGAGGATGCTAGTGATAAGTCTCTTAAAGGAGAAGTTGGTGTAGCAAGATCTGGAGTGGAGAGTGGTGAAGTTGGATACTGTGCAAAACTTAAAGTAGGTGATGACAGATCTAGCGATGCTTGGCGGAACTTTTTCTTCAGTACTAAAAATTTTTCTCCCTGAAATATTAATGAATCAATTCAGCATAATGTATTAGTGCCACAAGTTCACATTAATTTTAATTTTTTTAGAAAGACACAATAATCTCTATTTCTGACGAATACTCATAATTATTGTAAACTTTTTAATGTTTTTATGATTTATGTTGCAGCAAGTATAAGAATCAATTACTGCATTGCAATGGAGGTACATCAATGCAAATAATAATTGAGTCTTATAGAGCATTATTTTATTTCACACGTCTCACTCTGATCAGTCTGATGCTGAGCTGGCAAACGAGTATCCAATGCTACACATCCTATTCAGAACATCCACGAGATCAATGTATAACCTCAAAAAACGCTAAAGCTTATTCGAATCCTGGCGAAAGAACCTCATGTTTTTTTCGCGAGCAGATTAGCTTCTGGCGAGTCGCGCACTTGACAATTATAATGAGCCGAGCTTATTGAAGCATTAAATGCCATCATTAACAGTTCTATAAAGTCGGTAGCCGTAGCGGAGCAACAAGTCGTTCTCTCCGTCTCTGTCGCTCGCGTTGAACGCGTATGCGGGCAGCCACAGCAGCGAAGCATCGTCGTATTGCAGCAAAACGAATAAAGACATATTGTGAGTAAAACGACTCACCTCTTCCGTCTTGATCGTGGCCAAAGTGTTGATGTACTCCTTGAAACGATTTCTCGCTTCGACTGCGTGGCGTGCCAAAAAAAGCGCCAGGCAAAAGAGACGTAAAACAAACAAAAAAACACTTGTCAGACGATGGAATGCAAACAAATGTATATAAGTAAGAGAGTCGCGATAATATTTGCGCGTTCGCGTATCGTTTACCTCTGGTCTCGGGATCAGTGAGGAACTTCTTGAAGTGGATGACGAGGTCCTGATTGCGGGCCGAGCCGCCCTGGGCCAGCAGGTAACGGCGAATCTCCTCGAGGGAGAGCTCGCTCGGCGACGACATTTTTCCGCTATGCCAAAGCAAATTGGCCTGCACGCCAGCGGAGCAGCAGTACTGGCACGACGCAGTGGCTCGTTCGTTTTAACCTCGTCGTCGTCGTAGCGGAGGCACACGCTATTGCAGCTCGGCGAGTAGCAGTCGACGCGATGAGGTCCTGTATAGTATATAATGCGTACGCGCTAACTCAGATGCCTATAAGAATTACACGTATTCAGCAGCGTTGGCGCGCAAACAGACGTATGTGTGTATACGTGTGCGAGTATCGCGTCGCGTAAGTAAATGAATATTCACATGACTCACACGGATACACTGATTGCGCATACACACACACATGAATTCGCGTATAGTATAAGTACGCGTGTGTATGCGTATGTGTTGGTAAATAGGTATGGGTGCGGAACTATACTATACATACAGGCTGTGTGCACGAGACTTTATCGGACCGATACGCTTTCTGAATTTTCTCTCCATTTCGTTATACATTATAACATAGTATAGCTATCACAGGCATTTGTTTTGTTCATGCCAAAAGTAGGCGATATACAAACGCGAATGAATATAGTAGTAACGTAATCTGCACTTCGAAATCATCGAATCGTATCGCGATATAGGTACCGGAGGCAAAAAGTCACGTATTCACTTTCAATTCAAGTCCGAAGAAGACACAACTTCTACTTATAACGTATCAATTTCGCTGCAAGCGAACACATCGTCGGGAGCCGTCGTCATGGCGATTGATTTTAGAATATTTTTTTTGAAAATCCGCCCAACGTCCATAACCCCGCCGCCGTTCGACTGTTTAACGAGCGCGCGCGGATACTGCCATACTAATTGGGCGAATTTCGGACAAGCCGGTCACTTTGTAACGAGCTCAGAGCCATTGATTAATGTTACACATATCGTGCGTTATACACTACATATACCTGCATCTAAATCACATTAATTTTCAATTCTGTGCATATTCGTTATTGCAGGCCGGACTAATTGGTGCAGAGAGCAACGTACGGAGTCGTTTATTATAAATCGCCGCACTGCAGCGACGGAGCGAGATGAAGCCGAGAACGCCATAGAGTCTCGAGACGACGCGAATTATTATGGGACACATTTTCCTCGACTTGGTTGGAACAAGTGAGTATACAGAAGAATGATTTCAAAAATAAGATCTTGCGAATGCATACTGCATTTCGAGATTGCAGCCAACGGTTGTAACACACGATATTGGGTGTAACGTTTTGGCGCTCGATTAATTTCATATAAGTACGAACGGAAAATACGTTACAGTGCGGAGTCGCGAATATTAACCTCCGATGAATTTTTAAACGTTGATTTTTGAACAATCGAGGTGAGTTCTCTTTTATATTCGGAGTTCTGTTTGAACGATTTAGGTGAGATTTTTATACATTTGGAGCAGTTTTTTTATGTAACCCAATCAAACGGGCATCTGTGAACCGTTACGAAGTTATAAGTTCCTTTTGATGGCTCGGACGATTCCTAAAAAAAACGAAACATTTCCCTCGAACCTTCGAACCCTTCAAACCGTCGTTTCGAGCGTCGTGAATATCAAAAAAACCCCAATTGAAACGAAACGAAGGTTATCGTTAGCCGAGATATTTTCAAAATGTATACATCGTCGTTAACCCTTTAATACGCTGTGGCCCCACAGCAGCAGCAGCAGCAGCAGCAATAGACATGGGAAAATCATCTTGAATCTTGTAAGGATATTTTTCAAATGTCTATTATTACACGAGAAACACGTCGATGCAGCCCAGGCTCTGAGCACATAATCTCGCATAGCTAATTTAATTCGTAAGTAAACGATACAGTTCCTGCTCGTTCGCGTTTTCCAATATACGTGTGTGTGTGTGTGTGTGTGTGTGTGTGTGTGTGTGTGTGTTTGTGCAGTGTGCACATGTGTGTATGTTAGTATGCAGGAAGCTCATCTTCTGCCGAGCTCGGGCTCAAACACTGTGTTGTATATAATACATATAAAACGCGTGCGGCACCTTTGCAATTAAGCGCGCTTTAATCGGGCGCAATATTCCGTTTATTAGGCATATTTTTGCAGGCCTTGCGCGCGCCTCGCGTTTTCTTCTTGCCGGAGCCGATCTAATTTCACGTTTTACGGCCTTCTTAATGTGGCTTTAATTTGTCGATAAGCATCGCGTCTTGATTTGCGTATAGGCTAATTTTTCAATGAAATACCACCTTACGCGTATAGCACGAACGTTTCAACATGTATGTGCACACACACACACACACATATGTATTATAGACAATGTATATGTACATGTGCGCGCGAATAATGACCCCGCGACGTGGTGCGTGATTATAACATGCAGATTTGGCTCGATTAAATCAATGTGTTATTATCTTGGTACACTTGGTAGCAGTGCAAAAACAGTCTACATATATATACGTAGTCTCTCGTTGCTCTCGGGCAAAAGCTACTCGCGCATTATCATTATAGATTTTTAATGATTTTAATTCAGCCAAGTTGCCTCTCTCTATCTCTCTCTTCGAACGAAACGAAATTAATGATTGAAAATGAATAAGGACCTTGGCTTGACAGCTGTCCCGAGCGTACTTTTCATCGACGCTGCTGCACGTCTATATTATATAGTCCAAACCTCTCGAATGCATAACATTACGTTATTTATATCGTGTACGGCGCATCTCTCGTCGGTCTTTGACCGCATATAATACGCTGCGCACTCGTCGCTTCGCGATCATACGTATATGTGTGTGTGCATCGATCCGGCATATATATTCGTTATTTATCTTTCCCACAAGCGGCGGGGTTGACTCTTTTTCCACGAGCTCAAAGTCCTTCCTTGTGTTATAATACCGATATTATATATTCTGCATAGCGACGTTACGCCGCCGCTGCTCCTGCTCTATGTGTTCAACTCGCGTATGGGTATATACTCTCCTGTGTAATATACTTTATGAGCGGCTCTCGACTGCATGAGCTTCATTTTTTCCGCGGCATTCTTAACTTTGAACGTCGAGTGTGTATGTGCGCGGGCAGGGAAAACGTCGATATGTATAGTGATGCGCTCCTTTGAGGCGCTTGTATGCATACTCGTGTATTGTGCATACGTGACATTAAAACTTGACCGCATGAGCGAGCTTATGTACGTACGATACAAGCCGATTATTTGGACGAATGCTTAGCTTTGTATAGTCGAGGAAATGGAGTATCCGAGTATTCCATTTGATTTGAAGAATTATACGCAACGTTTGAGACGACTTCTTTTCATTTTTTTTCGAGAAAACAAACAAAATTTACCCTTTAAATTTTGTTTCATTGACGATTCTGTACGTACCATACATAAATTTATTGATGAACGTAAAAACACGATGTACGGATAAATTCACGTTTTGGCAAACGCGCACCTGTCCGCGCGATGGGGCCCAGGCTCGATTAGTCGTTCAGATTACATATACGCCGTTCGTGCATGAATTTTCTTCATATCTTTGAGAGGCTCCGTTCCGTCGGCCGAGCTAAGTCGTGTTTTGCGCTCGACTTTGAGTGCACGGGATCAGTTTCTGGGTTTACCAGCTACGTCGACAGTGAACTATTTTTAACGATTCACGAGGGAGGATTGTCGTGGCGTTTTTTGCTTTGTTTTTCCGTTCACGACAACAACAAATTTTCATTCGACACGGTATCTATATTTGCGATGTTTTCGATCTTCGTGAAACGTGATCGATCCTTCTGTTTTTTTCTTCATTTTTCTTTGTTATTTTTAAATAATTGTGAATGCCGGTACTAGAACAGTAGTTCATTTGCTTGTAAATGTTCATCGACACACAAAACCGGATGAATAATTAACACGCAGCGGCTCGCGATGTCAATTATAGGCGAGCTGCGAGCTGAAAATTCAATAGTCCGTGTGAGCCACTATCCACTGAGAATAATTTCAATTTCTCGTTTCGAATTTTATGTTCTATTTGTAAAGCGATCGATTTTTATCAGGGTCTTGTGTTCGCGATAGGCCATTAATATTTTCTCGCTCTCTCTATCTTGACATTCCAACGTGCGCGTATTTCCATAGTCGTTAAACGACATTTTCAATTAATTATTAAAAATTAAAAATAAAATCATTTTTAATCGATAGCCACTCTTTTTTTCTCTTTCATTTGTACGTACAAGAGTGCTCGTATGTTTAACATAAGCTGGCAGTCAAAATAGCGTGCGCGAGTTCACACTCGCAGCTATAGCTGGTCACAACCATAATATTGTCTTTTTGTCGTGATTCGCGCTCAACATTTTCTCAGACATTTATGTATAACCCTCGCGTATAAACAGCGCGACCAAGTCTAATTCCAAAGTCTAGCGTGCTGCAGTAGTAATGGTGTCTTTGCCAAAACGGCGAAGCGGCTACCCACGGCTGCGCATTGAAAGAGAGTCTCACTGTTAGACATATTTACATTAAACTTAATATAAAAATATAGGAAGTTTTTCTCTTTATTAGTAGATAAATTTAAATCCATGTAAAACCATGAAAAAATCATCAAATATTTTTAAATCAAACCAAATATTACCACAATGAGAGTGACAAAATCATACTTTTACTAATATTAAATACAATAGTTTACTGTTCCTCTTGCAGATTTACAGAGAAATGTACTCACCATCTAGCGGTACAATCTGACTTTAATTATGATTTAAATTTCGTGTATTTTTTGTGCAATTAACGCAAAAACTAAACAGTATTGTAACAGTAATTATCTATGAAAATGTACAAATATTCTTAAAGGATTAAATCTGGTTTGTTATTTTGTAACTGTTTAAATTTTCATGCATTTTCGTATAGTTTATATGAAAGAAGACATCAGTACTGATGTATTAATTTTCAACGAAGATTTCTTTGCAAAAGTACCTCAAATAAGATTCAATATGGCTTATTTTAATTTTAATCTATAATTTTACATTAAATCTGCATTCAATTAAAGATTTCTTTTTAACAATACAGACGGTAAAAGGAACGACGATGACGAGAATAATATTAATTCGAATTCTCGACCATAATGCAACAATATTTGAAAACCGACGGTTGCAGATCATATCTTCTTTCGGGTCTCGATAGATCGGTAATGCATAGACATTTATCCAAAGTTCATACAGGCTCGATGCACGCGAAAATATCGGGACAAGCGCGATTGGACTTACGCAGTAAAAGTAGAACTCTCGCGTGATTCGAGCAGCCGATAGGAGAATCGTTAAAAAGAAAGACGGGCTTGCGTAGC